CAAAATTTTCCACTGTAATGGCCATGAATTAGTTCTAAATGGGAAATAATTTAGTTGCTGGAATTTTTGTAACACGCCCCTTTCTTCTCAGTAATCCTTGTTAAAGAGACTTCAAGAATTGTTACCTGAACTACTTTCAGGTTTAGGTAGCTGCCAAAGAGTTGGAAAATTTGCTTCCTTGAATTTGCCCTCTGCTGAATGGAGCAAATAGAAGAGAATAATCAAGTTTCCTACAGCTCCTTGGACACAAATATTGATCTCCCTTGACCCAGAGAGATTAAGTAAACCTAATGGAGAGGTTAATAATTGTGGGTCCTTGTGCTTCAATACGGAAGTGCTTGATTTTGTAGCTGTCTGATAATAACAGGACAATACGGGGGGGGGATAATATCTTATTAGGCCTAGGAAAGAGGCATTCTATTTTCTATTATCTTGTTGAAGATGCTATTTTTTCAGAGATTTATTTACTTCTAGTGAAGCAAAAAGTGTTTATTCCGTAGCCTTGGGTAGCTTCAACATCATTAAACACAGAGGCAGAAATCCATTCAAAATTTACGTTGTGTTGGCTAATAACCTTTTCCTTTCTTTAAAAAAAACCCAAAATTGTATGGTTAATTATGCTAAAAAAAAAACACCAAAACAAACACCATCCAACCAGTAGCCAGATTGCAGCTCTTTATTTCAAATTAATAATTGATAGTTTTATAATGATAGAAGTCCTGAAAGCATTCCCTCCAATCACAGTAATAAATGTTTTGAATTATGAATGTTTTGAGGGAGGGGGTTGTATATTAGTAAACATTGTGTGATTTTTCAAAGATGGTGCCTCTGATAAATTATACTTATAAGTGTGTTCAGCCAGTAAAATATCTGTTTTATTTCTTATATATCTGTTGCTGTTTTGTTACATCCTTGGAAATTATAATTGATCAGTGCATAAAGGATGGCTTATGAGGAACAGCATAAGGCTTGGACTAGATTCATTTTGGCTATCAGAAGAATGAAAGGAAAGAGTGCAGTAATGATATCAGACAAATAACATTTACATCATCCTTCAATTACGGTGCTAGCAGTGTTCTGTTGTATCATCTTAACAGCTAGCTACAGAGAGTAGAAGATATATAACATTGCTGAACAATGGAAAGCCCAAGAACCAATTAACTTACAGTAAAATCATTGGAACACTTTCCTTGTCTGGAATTTCTTTTCCAGTATAAAATAATTAAATTTATGTTATTTAAGGAGGCAAAATTATATAATCTTCATGCAATCTTGTCTCATAAGACTACAACAAAGCCAAAAAGCCTGGCCACCCCTTTATTAATTTTCATGATTATTCTAGGATTCCAAACACTTTACGGCCAGTCGCCTTTATGATCACTATTGCTTACTTTACATATTTTTGAGTAATTTTTGTTGTGAATGCTTTAGGGAAAACATGAATATTTCACAATCCACTGTCATTTCACACAAATAGTTTTCTTAGCATTATTTGAGAAATATATTATTTCTCTCCTGACTTAGATCTACTGCATAAACCAGTATTTTTCAACCTTGGCAACTTGAAGACGTGTGGACTTCAACTTCCAGAAATCCCCAGCCAGCATGAGAAACACTGGTCCAAACTTACTCTTTTGGGAACATTGTGTTTTCCTCCAGACCAAGCAGTGATTTGCTGTTGTCTCCTTGGGTGTTTTTCGATTTCCTAATCTAGCCTCCAGCCTTAATATTTCCTGAGTCTTCCATCTAAGTCATAACAAGGCCTGGCCTGCCATTGTTGCTAATATCTCTGTCCTATATTTTTAAATTATCTTGTCTGCTCTTAAACTACATAAGGATTAGTATAACAGTTTAAGCGAAAAAAGTAACAATTGGAATTGCTGACACCATCTGAAATTTTTTCAGTTAATATTAGAAGATCCAGTATTTTGGCTTAGGTTATAAAATAAAAAGACAAGGCTGTTCTTATTTGAAAGAAACTGTAATGAAGATAGTGGAGTTGTTTTCAAGTAACTATATGAAAGATGAAAGAACGCAAAGAAAATGCTACTGAGTCAAGTACCATTGTGAAATATAGTAGGTACCCTTTGAGTTGCTTTCTCAATGTGGTTAACTCCAATTATATTTCATCATCTTAGCTGTACAGAGATAATGGGAACTGAAATCCTACATCTGGAAAACTAGAGTTCTCCAGCCCTTCCTCTAAAGAAAAAAAAATGTTTCAGTAATACTCAGGTTTACAACATTTTGCAAATTAATAAATCATTTGATGAATAATTTAACTAACATGGCACCATATTCTCCTTGTCTTTGCCCCTCTATTAGAAATAGAAGCTTGTTTCTTCAGATATGGGTGAAGTGGAGCAAAGAGTGACAACAGGATCTCGGCTGGGAGGACAGGAGAATGCTGGCATCAGTACTCTGGAACATGGACAGAAATTGCCTACAACACCTACAGGAAAACTTATTTCTATCAAAATCCAGATGCTGGATGATACCCAGGAAACATTTGAAATTCTGGTAAGGTGATATCCTGAGTCTATGGTTCATTCTTGGCTGGAGGGAGAGGGTGCCCACAGACCAAGCTGCCTCTAGTTTTGCAACTTGGTATAATGTGCCAACAGCCCACGTACATGAGCAGTATTAAAAATTTAATATTTAGTATTTAAAAGATAGTTAAACTGTTATAGGTGTCCAGTATCTTGTATTTTCCTGATAGCATCACAGGCTATTTAGAAAAAAATACTTTTTAGGCTGCTGTTAATTGCATTATCTTCCACATCAGTCTCCTAACACTAATTGCAAACTGTTAGTTGCAGTATATTCTGCCATAAACTGATTAAGAACCATGAAATAACTTTAAATAATTAGCCCCATTGAGAACAAAAAAGTAGAATCGACAAAGTTATTTCACTTTAACTATTCTGCAGATACTTGTAAAAGTAATTTTGATCTTTCTTACATCTTAAATCTTAAGTATTATCTAGACAAGCAAATTGCATTCTAATATTAGCACATTACTAGTGCATCACTACTTGTTTGATTCTCTATATATTTTGAGGATTTCTTTGTAACAGATTGTGTCTGGCTTTAATTGCCTGAAATTACTGGTTTTAAAGGTTATTTGTACACTTAAATCCACCTTGCCTCTGGCAGCTCAAGGCTGCATATATAATTCTCTTCTTGCAAAACTTACGGTAGATTTGTGAGATAATTTAGCCTTAAAAGTAAGCATAAATCTTTGTGTTTGGAAAGTTGGGCTGACTTTTATTAAGATGTGTATTATCCACACGAGTCTGATTTCTGAATTGCTGAGAGGTATTCTTTTACATTCCCAGTTATAGAGAAAGATTCCTTATGGTACTTGCTGAGCCATAGAGAATTAATCAAGTAAGGATGAACAGATTTTCTATCTGTTTTAAACAAGCTGAGCTTTGGTAATAATGTTGTCATATTAAGACATTTATTGTCATTTTTAACATGTCAGTCCTATGTTCCATTATGCCATTAGATGTTAGCCTTTAATCTCAGTCTCAATTAATTAAATTTTATGCTCAACCAGCTGCATTGGTAGAGAACAAAAGCTGATGTATTGGCAAGTTGCTTGATCCATTGGCACCCAGCACTTGTAAGGGCACTCACTTCATTATGCCCTTACCTTAGTCATGCAAAAGTCATCAATTGTCATTAGTAGAAAGGCTGTCCTGCTTGTACCCTTATGGGTTCCTCATAAATACATTTTAAATTATGGTTGAACACTGGCAAAATTTCTCAGGAAAAAAACGCACTAAACTTCCACTCGGAGTACAGATTATTCCACACAGAAATGAAGTGCATATGTTGTCAAGTTTGATCTACTTGCAGATAATTATCAATTTTGTCTTCCTTTCTGCAATTCTGATAGATGAGGGTATTGTACATTTTCTTTCAAAATCATTTATTGCTCACTTCTCTTCCCTCCACTTCCAGTATGTCACTAACAACTTTTTAGATAATGTTTTTCCATTCTTGAGTAGCAGATGCTGAATGTTGATATTGTAACTAGTTGTATTGTAACTTGTATTGGAGTACAGATTATTCCACACAGAAATGAAGTGCATATGTTGTCAAGTTTGATCTACTTGCAGATAATTATCAATTTTGTCTTCCTTTCTGCAATTCTGATAGATGAGGGTATTGTACATTTTCTTTCAAAATCATTTATTGCTCACTTCTCTTCCCTCCACTTCCAGTATGTCACTAACAACTTTTTAGATAATGTTTTTCCATTCTTGAGTAGCAGATGCTGAATGTTGATATTGTAACTAGTTGTATTGTAACTTGTATTAGTTAGATCAAAAGTATTTTCTCCTATTTCGCCTCATTTGGGTTATTCAACTGGTAATGGGATGGAAACAACCTTCAAAAAGAAAGTATAACACAGTTCTATTTTTCTGGACCACTCAATAGGTTGAATATGATTGAGGTATTATTTTGGACTAATGTACAGGTTGGGCTTAGTAAATATGATTTTTCTTGAAAGAATTATCTCAGAAAATGATGCTGGAGGAGTTCTTCTCAGCACCAAGATTAATCTTTAAATGGTTTGTGGCCACTGTAACCATATTAGTCTATGTGTTAAGGGAAGTCCTCATTAGATCATCTGTGTGTGGCTTATTTAAAATACTTATATCCCACTTTGCTATCAAAAGGCATTCAAAACAGCTAATATGAAATAAATGTTCATTTCTAAAACAAAAGGAAAATTATCATCCATCAACCAATTTGAACCATTAAAAGCAAAAGAAAAAAACCAAATTTTTCAGCTTAAATTTAAAAAGGGTCAGAGGAAAATGAACTTCAGGGAGCTATCAAATAGTAGCAGGGCAATCATCAAGAAGATCATTTCTGTATAGCTACCAACCTTGCTTTAAAAATGTTACTTGGAGTAGATACCTTTAGTTGTTCTTTATGCCCAGCTATTTCACATGGGAGCAAATAGTCCATTAAATTTTTTTGTCCCATTTATAAAATTAAATATCATAAACTCCTTAAAATCCATAATCAATTCAAGAGAAGAGACTTTTACAGAGATTGCTATATTATGGAATTGGCTGACAACTGGAATCCATCAAGCCTCTTCACTTCATATTTTTAGAAAGCCCTAAAGACCTATTCATTCTCCCTGACCTATTCGTGGAAAAAAAAATTTTTTCCCTGTTCAGAAAGAACCTCCTGCATTTTGTTGTCTTTCTGAGGAATAGTATAAAATGGAATGGTGCTGGAGAAGACTCTTAAGAGTTCCCTGGACTGCTAGGAGGTCAAACCAGTCAATC